GAACGTCACCTTGGTGGGTGGTCATCATCTTCCCTTGCACCAAAGCTGTACCTTCTTGACACCACACTTGATGTTGGATTCCTGCCCAAGCACCAAACTTCTGTTATTGTTGAGTGTGGAGGAAATCAGAAATGCAGCAATCAGCAAAAGACAAAGGCAGACCAGCAGTGTGATTCCAGCAGCCCAGTACATTATGGTTGCATTCCATGCGAGTTAAGTCACGATGGTAAAAGCCTTGGCAGGATTTTTTTTTTTTCAATAGTTTATTCATGATGTTCATTATTATGAGCTGTAAAGACTATGAGAATTTCATTTTTTAAATGTCTTATGGAATGTATCACTTTCTTAGATCTTGTAGACATGCTGTGGAAACCATAACATAAAATATGAGTTACTTACAATAACTAATTTTAATCCCATCTGCTAAGTATGACAACATTAGCATTTCCACTTAATTAAAAACACCCTTAAAGCAGCAATGTTTTAATCACTCCATTTTATTTACTCTCCTCCGGTGTCACTTATAATTGTAACTTTTTATTTTTTAATAATGAGGGATTTTTTTTTCTCTGTGCATCACACAAAAAAGTGCTGTCGATAATTAGCAGTCTTCTGTTATTACTAGACTCAGGTGTCACAACTGTGTCTCATCCTCATTACAGTAAAAAATTTCACCTATCAGATTCATTATTGCTAGATAATGCGACTGAGAGCCTTAGCAGGCCCTCCAGAAAAGTAATTCAGCCAAGCAAAATTATCAGCTAATTATATTTAGAATCAAAAGCCCAACAACTATTTGCAGATAAATTGTATGAATTGAAGTGAATAGACCTGAATATTAAGATTCATAGATTTAGCAGATGATTTGTTAATTGGAATAAAAAGACCATTTACTAGCCATTTTAACAATAGATCAATCGTAACTCTTATTTATTATTTAACTAGTAGTGCTTAAGGATTGAAATGAAGAGTAATTTTATTATTGTTATGATATGATACTTCTCTGGGAAAGAACAGAAATGCATGGAAATTAAAGGATTCCCTGTGCATCCTCACACCAAAGTCTGTGTCAGTGTGAGCTCTGCCCAGCTTGATTTGATCTTTAGGATTTGACAAATGGAAGGTGTAAGGTTTGTAGTAAAACTTACTACTCATAGTAGGGACTGGTCAGAAAAATACACCCAAACTTTGGTGCAGAAAGGAGTATGCAAAAAAGATCATTTGCAAATGAAAGAATTCCAAATTTTTAACTTTTATCCAGCAAACCACAGAGGCAATAAATTCTTATTTTACTAATTCATGATCCTGGTAGAGGTTTTTTGAAAGGGGAAATTTCATACTCAAATGATGACTCAGATCCCATCTTGGCCTGCAGTTTTGTTTTAGGGAGCTGTTCATTTTTTTTTTTTCCCATGCAGACGATATGATTAAAAAGCAAATATTTTAACATAACTTAGTGATCTGAGCTATTACTGAAATGTCCACAGTTTCACTCTTTTTTTTTTTCTCCTAGATTAAAGAAAACTTTAAAAATCTATTTGCTTTGACATATGACACAATATTTAAGAACTGAAATCATCAATTAAATCACACATCAGAAACATTTCCCTTTGGTAAAAAATATAGTGCTAGACGATGTACACTTTGAAATTGTTGTTAATGTTTAAAATGCAATCTGAAGTGCATATGTTATTTAAAAAAAAAACCCCAACATAAATTACAAATTTTAAAAGTTTGAAAAAAACCAGCAGTCATTTCTTAGCAAAAGCATTTGCAGAGAAATGTGTCTTTGGGGTTTGTGGATATGCATAGTTTTCTAGCATGAAAGCTGAATATGTTATTCTTTATTTTCTTTCTTTTTCCTGTTTAAAATTGAGTAGATCTAAAGGAAACAGAGTCTTTTCAGGGTACCTGTAATACAGTACCAAACTTGACATTGGCACGAAGGTAGCAAAAGCCTTTGGGTTGTCACTGAAAATAGAAAAGGTGAATGTTGACAAGATTTCAGATTTTTTTTTTTTTTTATTCTGGGGAATGAGGGAAACTGAAGTTAAAAATAAAGTCCTCGTATGGTCAACATGTTGGAGGAAATTCAAAGCCTCTCATAAAATAAACATATTTTAAGAAGTGTTTTGAATTTCACTGTGTAATTTCTGTCCAACAGAAATTATGGTTGTATCTTTGGAGGGACATTGTGTCAGATCAATGGTCATTATGTGAAAAAGTAACCTGAAACCTGGATGCCTTTAACCCTTTCTGTTAAAACCTGAAATCCAAGGGAGACAGCTCTGCTACTGGAAAACTTGGCACCACGGCGGTGCAATTCTAAAATATTTGGGTTTGATGTTACGGGAGATATGTAAAATATTCCTGGGGAAAAAAAAAGGCAAGTACAAAGCTTTGCACGCTTTGGCAAAAGAATTTCATCAGCGGTTATTAAAAAATACAACAGTTTATGTCCCAAAAAATAAATGAAATTATCCAAAGCATGTGAATAAGCTGAAATATCCCAGCCTGGAGCATGCTGCAAGTTGTTCCTGGGTTATATTTAGCTGTAACCTTTGGAGTCTGGAAGTCTGAGAGGAATATCTGCTGTGCCAGGTGAGGGTGGTGTGTGTGTGCAACACGCCCTGGTGTAGCCAACGTGCCCCTTGTTTTCCAGCAGCATTATTAAGCAAAGCCATCCATACTTCACCATGTTGTTACATGTGTCTGTCTGCTGATTATAAAATGTGTTAAACAGTATTTAAAAAACAAAAAAATGCAGAGCTGCGCTTTGATTTATTCAGCGAACAAAACATATGCTCGCTGTTCTGTTCTATGTAATTCATATGATCAATAAAATTTTCTTTAAAAAGAGCAACTTTGGCATTTAGAAGGATTATGCTGCTGAAGAAAAAAAAAATGTTTCCCTCTTGCTGCATGCAGGCAGTCTCAAGGCTCTTGCAGGAAAATAATTTTTTTTTTCTGACTAATGTCTATTTTTGTATATTTGTGATTTCTAATCCTCAGGATGGAGGCTGTGCATTGTGGCTGTTACCCACTGTGTCCCAAAGCCTTGGTTTACCCAGAGATATTCCCAGGTAGCTGCTTTGTTGCCTATTCCTTCTGCTGAAACGTAATAATATGATTCCTGCTAAAATCAAAAGTTTGGGAATAAACTTGAGTGAAAGCAATTGTTTATTTGGCAAGCCAACATGTTAGTGTTAAGGCAAATTTTATGTGTTTTAATACATTAGACGAAGTTTATATTTGCCATCTGTTCTTTTAAGATAACAAAAAAGCAAGTTTTGAAATAGCATTCTTCATTGTTAGCATACACATCCCATAATGATAGATTTTTGTTAAAAGGTCACTGATGCTGCAATGGTTTGCAGATTTTTTTTGTTTTTGATACACAGAAGAAGGAAAAAAAAAAGCCAGGCCTGAAAATCACACCAAATTATTTAAACAATTTAATACTTAATAGTATGCAACTGCAGTACAGGATACACACTAATGTAGTACCAGTTCTTCGAAAAATCTCATCACTAAATGTATCACATATGCATTGTGTTACATTAGAATAATGTATTTTAATCACCCAAAGGAGATGTCTAAACAGCACAACTACACAGTCTTATTTAGCATTAAACATCCTTGTGAGCTGAGGTAACCTTATAAAATCATGCTTAAATAATGTAAAACACGAGGCGGCACAGAGCAATATGCATTTTTAATTAGTAAAGTGACTAATATCGAGTGTGTGCTTTGAGGTTTTTGTTTCATTAAAAATGTATCTGTTTTTCCTGCAGCTGAATATCTGTATTCTACACCTGAACAGCTTTTTAAAAGGCTTCAGAATTTCTGCAAGAGACCAGATATTGTAAGGAGACATCTCTATAAGGTAGTTGTTTGGAATAGTTTTAGATGATATAATGCCATATTGAAGTACAAAGGGGAAAAAAAAAACCTTAAAAAAACAACATTTAATTAACATACTAATGTTTAAAGGAAACATGCTAGGGAGGGATATTAGTCGTTACACTAACAAGGATTAATTAAACTAGATGCCAGTTGTATTAACCTAGGTCTTATGAAATACGTGCACTTAATGCATGCTACATGTTTTTTTTAATTTACTGTTTTCTAAAATGACTGTCCTTTACATTTGGACCCAAGAGGCTTATAAAAATGAACCTGGATTAATGCAACTCATTAGTTTAAAAGGAAAATAAAAGAAAGATCCTACAATTATACTAATGAGGATAAGCCTAACTTCCTATCCTAATTTAATCTTCAAAAAAATGCAGGTGACAGGTATCAGGTAAGATTTCTTTGGCTTTGGGAATGATTTGAGTGATTTTCATAATTACAATTATTTTAATTATTTGCTTTATAAGGTGTGTTAAGCATTAAAGTTTATTGGGAGAATAATTTACTGGTATTTGTCATGTCCCCTTCTTTGCAATCATATCTGTAGAGAAAATGCAGGTTCAGTGGCAAACTCTCCATTCAGGTTTTGCTCAAGTGTTCGATGCTAGGCCAACTTTCATAGTTTTAAATGGTGTATTTACACTGATGGGAGTCACGCTTTTCTTTTTTTTTTTTTTTTTAATTTGAATGTAGATGAAGCACTAAATTTTACATTATTCCAACGAAGAGCCGTTACTACACGAAGCTGCTTTCAGAAGAATAACTGCAGGTTTTTACACGCTGCTTCATGCATTTACAGCGGTTTTTGACTTTTACTGTCGTGGGCAGGTTGGATGCACATCACCCCTGCACGACAGAGGTGTTTCAGCTCGTGAAAACCCCTGAATTCAGCTGAAAGTCCTTAAAGGCTTGGGGGTGCATGGAAATGCTCCTCGTGTTAACCCGTGCGACACAAATGCGGTTCTTGGAGCGTTCCCTCCTCCGTCCAGCCTCACTGTTAATGAGCAGGTCGAGTAATCTCCTCCTTAATTTGGAGTCTCATGCTGCCAACAGACCCAGCCTCATGCCTCCACCTCCCTCCCTTCCCCTGGGGACCAGAAGCTGTTGGGTCTTGCTGTGTTTCGTCTGCCTCTCTCCCCCTTCCTGCACACACATAGCAAGAGCAGCAAGGACTTAGCCCACGCCTTGACTTTTTTTGTGACCTAAAAATAGGCATTTACATAATGATACATCAAAGATGATGTTGTTTCTGCAGGAAACAGTTAAACCTCAAGGAAAAAAAAAAAAAGAGAACCAAAAATGCAATTTAACACCCAATTTCAAGCTCATTATCTTTCATTGTCTATTAACTTGGCAATGGTTCAGAAGGTAGCTCATAATAGTTTAAAATGCTGACTGAACACTTCCAGTGTTCAGCATTACTTCTTGAGTCAATAGTATCGTAGAGTTAGGCATGGGGGCTTCAAAGGGAAAGCAGTCCTTAAATGTTTACCTTGGCATTTCCCAATGCTTCAAGCTCAGCTAATGGTTGCATTCACATGGATCTTCTCCCACATGGTTCCCAGCTCCTGAACACAGAGCCAAGGCATGCAAAAAATACTGATATAAAATAGTACAGGTTGAAAATATGTATGCAAACCCTGTAGGCAAAATGCTGATTTACTTGAAGGATTTTTAAAATTTTTTAAGAATTCCTTGGGATGATTAGTAGGCAGAAGCTGAAGGTCTTTTTCCTGCCCCTTATACACGGGGTTTGCAGATCTTCTATCAGAGCCCATCCTCTGCAACAGGTAGCAATGGAGCTGAGTGGGGGATTGTTTTAAAATGAGGAAAGCAGAGCCTAATCCAGCACCTGTGAGCACAAGAGGAAATATCCCTGTTGTCTTTAATAGGCTTTGGATCATCTCAGAGAATACTGTTAGAGTTGTCCTTTTGTGCCTACACCCACGTACACCTAGTCTTCCTTCACTGTGGACCATCCACAAAAGCTCCTGGAAAAGGCTAGCTCAGAGCTGTGCTGTTAAGGTCATTACAGCTGGAGTGATGCTGCTTTGTAAGGAAGCTGAACAGAGTGAATTCCTGAAAGCTACACAGCACTTGCACAGTATTTTCACTTTTTTTCAGATCACTATAATATTATCTCTGTTTTCTTGGGCTAGAAAAGGGATTCCAGCACAAGAGTCAATGTTAACCAGCTCCTTGTCTTTCAGAAACCATCCTGCCATATTCTCTGCATTGAGTTTATCAAGTATCTGTGACATTTTGGAAGTAGAAATGCTTTAAAAGCAAATAGTGCTTTTCTCTGCTGGCTGGGGATTCTCAACTCCACAAGTTGGGAAGTAATCACCTTGGTTTATCCTTTTACATGTTGTTGGGATTTTATTACTCAGGATATCTATAATAATTAGACAGTGGCTTATTAAACAGGCAGTTTGTTCCTTCAGATGTCCTCAGTACTTGTGCTAACAAAATTAGTGGCAGAAAGGAGATAAATGGCATCAGGGCAGTAGGCTTAGAGGCTGGACATAGGGAACATCCCTGTGAAAATGCACAGACCAAGGCATTAAACTGTAGTAGCTTAACTCCACAGAGCAGATTCATGCTGGCAGACTTTTAAAAATGTCCATAATGTAAGCACCTATGAAAAACTTTCCAGATGATGTATTGCTCACCCTGAGTATTCACACAGCACTCAGGGCTGGCTCATCTGCATTTCAGCCTTGCCTTCTGCCAGTTATTAGCAGAAGACTGAGATGAGAGGGAAGCAAATCTCATTTGTTATCAATTATTTGTTCTGTTCCAGTTTCATGGAATCAAACTCTAGTTTTGGGTGATTTTGGTTGCCAAGGTAAGCACAGGAATGAAGCAAGTTAGAACAGCAGGGCATTGGTCAGGGCACACCACAGGACCTGTTAGTGCCCTATCTAGTAGATTTAAAGTTAAAATAAATAAAATAAAATAAGGCAAAATGTTTGCTTTTGCATTATTTTGTTAAAGTTTACCTTTTAGTTTCCTCACTTGAGTTTCTTAATTTAAAACAGCATGCATAAAGAGTATACAGTGGAAAGGGACAAGAAGAGTTGCCAAAAGCCAGGCATGGAAGGAGCTGACAACTTTAAATAATCTCTCCCAGCCCTCCCAGCTGAATGAGTGCTGGTTGACATGCTGTCAGCTTCAGTTCCTACAGAAAAATCCTACTCTCACTCATGCTTGTTTAATGGAGAAAAGAATTTGGCCCACTTTCTGACATTCATCTTCTCATTTCCATCACACTACAGAAGCTCACCTGCCTATGAAAAGACACATGGCGTGATTTTTTTCTTTCTGACACCACTGTAGAAGGAAGTCTGCTGAATTCAAAGGGATTAAACTGCTGTAAAATCAAATTAAGATCCCAGTTAGACCATAGACATCTGAATTGTTTCCAGTCTCAGGATTTGGCTGTATAGGGCAGTTCTAACAAAACTTCATTTATTTCTTTTCCTTTCCTTTTCTTTTTTCTCTGATTTGAGATAAAGCAGTATCTTGGCTATTTCAGAGAAATGTGTAGAAAGGGAAAACTGCTCCTGGTCCAGATTTCATGTTTAGGCAAAGCTAGGGAAGCATCAGGAGGCATTCTCAATGCAATAAACTGGGCATTGGGCACATGAGGATGCAGAAGAGCCAATGCCAGGTGTCCCATCAGACACTCAGCCCTGTTATTCACAGTTCCTGTACCTATGGCCATGTGAGAGCCAGGGATGGTGCCTCTGCCTTTATCTTTACCCAATCTCCAGCAAAACTCCATTGGAAATTCATTTTTCCATAAGCGACCTGGTCTAATGGAAGGTGTCCTTGCCCACAGCAGGAGCTTGGAGCAAGATGGTCTTTAAGGGCCTTTCCAACCCAAACCACCCCAGGATTCTATGATTTGTTTATGATGGTGTTTAAATAATTTCCTTAATTAGCTCAGGTTTTCCCCACCTTCAGTTGTGTTGAGTGTCTTCCCATTCTGGAGTTGGTCGCCTGGAAGCAGGAGCTCCCTGTCCATCTTTATTGTACCATCCATTATTTTATAAACATTTGTCCAACATTTTCAGTATCCCAGTCTTTTCAGTCTCTCCTTATGAATGTTATTCCATGTTTATATTCTAATCTCTCATCATTCAAGCCGTTCTGATGCTTGAGAGCTGTCTTTGTGCTGGTGTGATCATTGCTTTAGAGAATTCCGGGCTGTGCCATCAGTTTATGTGATGTGTAGTACTCTGATAATTCCCAACCTGTTCCTTATGGAGCCAATCCTACTGTTTACTTTTTAATGGTGAATGTATATTGAGCAGATGTTTGCTTACAGTGTTCTCCAGATCTTTTGTCCCGGGCTGATAAAATTAATTCAGAGCTTTATAGGGTATGCAAATAATGCAAGTATTTCCATCCATCCTGCTGGCTTTCTGCTCACTAGCAGAGCACATTTGCAGAGTTAAAAAAGAAGGAATTGTATTGAATTTCTGCTTTTACCTGGCCAGCATTAGGTGCAGGTCAAAGGAGGTTAGAAACACAAATAAGAAACCTGTATTTGCCTCTTGAGCTGCTCAGTTTCCCATGAACGTGATTTAAAATGGTTTCAGAGGTGGTTGAGATCTGCTTCTCAGAGTCTGTGGGGGAAGGTTACAGGAACTCTGGAGTGCAGAGCTCTGTGTCCATTCTCTCCCATCTCTGTTCCAGTGCTTAGGCATGTGATCCTAAGGAAAATATGTAAAACATAAGGATTTTTTTATGTGCAAGAAAACTTCATTAGTTATTTGGAGCACAGAATCACAGACTGGTTAAGGAAGTGCCTCTGGACATCACCAGCCCCACCCTCTGTTCAAAGCAGGGCCAGTTTCAAAGTAGGATCTGACTTCAAACTTAGATTTAGTTGCTCAGGATCACATCCAGGTTAGACTCAAATCTTGACACTTTCCATTCCCTGTGCATGGCTGATACAGTGAAAGCCCTGTCTAGCTTGAGAGTTTGCACAGGTGGGATGGTGTGCTGGGCTGTGGAAAACAATTTAAGCATTTTGGGTCAACCTTTGGTCTTCAAGAAACTCTGGTAGAAGCAGGTCTACCTGGCTAACATGGATCCTCACTGTGGAAGAAATGAGCTGGCAGGAAGGGAGTTGGAGTTGCCTAATGTTGGGATCCAGCCATAGAAAAATGGATATATGTGCAGATATATATGTGTGTAGGTGGCCTGCACCTGAACTTCTCTCTGGGCTTGTCTTGCTCTTGGCTCTCTGAGGTAAAATATCCAGGAGACTCCAGCTCTAATCACAGAATTCTAAAAATATTTAGGCTGGGAAAGACCCTTGAGTCCAACCATTAATCCAACATTTCCATGATCACCATGTCCCCAGATGTTGGTCTGTAGCTCACAGCAGTTGGCTGCACTTGCAGAGTAGGACTAAAGAAGTTATAGGGGCAACTTTCAGCATAAACACCAGGACTTGGAACTTTTTATTCTGACAGTATTAGATAGCTTCCAGGAGAGTTTTAGAGAGCAAATGAAAACTGGCAGATGAGCCACAGCCACTTCAAAACAGTAGGTGGAGAAATGGGTCAAAGGAAATAGGAAGAAAAGTTGCAAAAAGCATGAAAACTTTTTTTTTTTTTTTCCAGTACAGTTTATTTAAATTACCTTGGGGAAAAAAGCAGGAAACTGTTTTCCCACTGTTATAGTCAGTCAGTGTGTTCTGAGCCATCCTGTGCAAGGTACTGCATAGATTTGCATTGAAAATTTGATGGGTTTTTTTTCTTAAAAGACAGCAAGAAAGAGGTGAGTTTTAAAAGGCCAGTGTAAGAAACTGCAGAACAGACCAGTTTGGTCAGGGAAATACTGTTACTCTGCTGAGGTGTGTTAAATATTAAATAGCTCTGCTTTCGGCCTCACAGTGCACACAATTCATGTAAAGCAATGGTGGATTCTGGTGCTGGTCTCCAAAAGTGCTCGGAGTTTGAAAATTGAACTCCAAAAATAATTGCTGCAAACTGTTTTCCACCTTGATTTTTCCCCCTTACTCACTTGCAGAGTGAAGGAGCTGGATCACAGGGTAGATTTGACCCAATACAATTTGACTCCGTAAATCATTCCAGTCTTGCCTGCCAAATCTCAGGTTTTGTGTGGAAAATTAATCTCTAAATCTTAATTTTGTTAAGCCAATTTTTTAAAAAGTGCAAAAAATCTACACTAAATCAATACTGTGTGCTTGAACTTGAGCTGTCCTGAAAGAGCCAGTCTAAATGGATGAAGACTCCTTATTAAAGTCTAAAGGTTAACTCTGAAGTCCAGTGATGGCAGAGTAGGTATTCAGTTCTTCAGTGCTGATCTTAGGACACTAGAAACAAGTTGATTATTTAATGAAAAATACTGTTCTGCTACTGACATCATGCTGTTTGTTCTTTATGGGAAGATGCTGCTTTATGTGAAAACTTTGCTTCTTTTGATCCCCACATATTTAAAACTATTGATGGAAAGACAATGGAATTTGTCTTTCATTTTTCATTCAAAATTCATTTTTTCATGGAATTTTATTCCTTGAAAAAATGAATGTCCAGATATTTGCATAGTTACCACTCCTCAAAAAAAACAAAAAGAGATTATTCTGAAGTAAAGCCCAGAGTGATGATGGTCTAGCAGAACTAGGCCCTGCTCCTTCTGGCTCATGGTTCTGCCATGTCTGAGGGTCCCTGAGACTGTTCAGTCCTTGATGTGTCCACTGAGACCACCAGAAAAGCAGGGGGAGCAAATAACCTGGGCCTTATGATCAGCTTACCTGTCTCAAAAAAAAACCCAAACCCTGAATTCCCCCCGTGTTTAAATAACAGCACATAAGTGTTCTGTGACCAAGTGGCTCCCACCCCTCCTGAAATCCTTCTGGCATTTTGTGTCCCAGCCTCTAACACGGTTCCGTGTCCTTCTCTCTTGTGCTTCCTCGCAGGGCGAGACGGCCGGGTTTTCTTGGGCAGCGCTCGGCAGTAAATTCAGGTCTCTGCTCGCAGCAGAACCGAGGGAAGATTTGTGACAGATGGGGCTAAGTCACAAACTTGCAGCCTCAGGCAGAATTGTGGAAGTTTCCAGAGTGTGCCCATATTTACCTGATCAGAGAGAAAAGAAAATCTGCAGAGGAAGCCGAGCCTGGCTGCTTGTCATAGCTGACACAGAGCCATCTGCCACAAACCTGTGGCGGCTTCAGATCTCCAATCCCTGCCACCACCCCAGCTCAAATTAAATACAGATTCTTAGAGACGTTATGATGGTTACACATGTCCTCGGCATCACATGCAGGAGACTGTTCAAAAAAAATATGTGGCCTGTTGTGTAACCGCACTCATGTATCCCATATGTGGTGCCACATTGAATTTCCGGTTGAATCTGTTTTTATCCTTTGTACTGGATGACATGGTGCCTGAATTCTTTCTTTTCGCCGACACGATGGCAGCCAAGCTGCAGCTTCAAACGCTCACACTTGGCTGAGTTTCTACCTAGGTTGCCAGGTTATCATTGGAGCCTTATTGTGTCCTCAAAGGGCCACAGGGCCTGAAAGGAGGATCCGAATGCTGCCGGACTAATTGGGCAGCCATCTCCGGGTTGTTGGGAGGCAAAAGGCTGCTTGAGCACTTCTCTCTCTTTCTCTCTCTCTCTCTGTCTTTTTTTTTTTTTTTTATTGCAAATTAATGACTCTCTGGCAAAGGGGTTTTTAAGTGAAGGTATTAATAAGGGGTCTGGCAGGTAATCCCATGATTCGTGGAGTTACATTTGCATTTAATTAATCTTAAAGAAAGCTGAAAGATAAACAGCTGTAATTCAAACTAGCTTGGGAAATATGCTACATGGTGCCATCTATCCGATAAAATGAAAGCCGAGACACTTGTTTTATTTCTCTCAAGGATGGAGAACAAACAGATAACAATCAAAATACTTCCAATAAAAACCAGTAGTTTAAATGTAATGGCAGTTCATCAAGAATCTTTGCATCCAGTTGCAAATACAGTCTTTTAAAGATAAATCACTTATGATTCCAGCAGTCAAGCTGCAGTATTTGTTGATGTAAAATGTTTTGAAGATGTAGATTGTACAATAAATTTTTAATAAAGTGCCCACTGCAATTTTTAATTAGCATATCTCATTCATGTATAAGTGTGTACATCTATCTGTATGTTTATCACCATGCATATCCTTGTGTCAGAGTCAATGAATGCAATTGTGTCTTTATCTGATGAAGTGGAATTTGGTTTGCAAGCGATAATAAAACCTTATGGCAATTCCAAGATTTTCAACTCTGCTCTGGGAAGAAGCAGGAAGAGGACTCTGGGTAAGGTGTTACGACGTGAAGCCTGGTAAGACTTGTCTTTGCAGACAGGTGTGGTCTCAGCTTCCCTTGGATCAAGGCAGCTCCTCTCCCTGAAAGGGGTAAAAGGTACAGGCTGGTCCCCCTCCCCACGAGTGTCTTTGACACCATCAAGAAGTGAAATGTCATTTTTCAGCATGAGAGAGAGCACATGTTACTTCTTGTTAAAATTACCCCATGAAGCAATCAAAAACAAGCCAGGGAGACACAATGGAAAGTGTTTGTTCTCCTAGCACTGCAGAATTGTAATTTTGCAGTTATCATCTCTCTGTATGCAGATTCCTCCTCCTTTCTTCTGGGCCAAAGCCCAGTTTGGCTTTAGGCACAGCTTGTGATTGGGTGGACGTGGTCCTCCCAAGAGTGTAGGTCTGGTGGTCATCCTTGGAAGACCCAAGGAGCAGGACTGCCTTGCACTCCTGCCAGAATGTATCATAGATGTTCACCAATGTCATCCCACCTTGCACCAACAAATTGGAATATTTTTTGGCTTCACTGCTGGGGAAACTGAGGCATGGTGCAGTTGTAGCAAACTGCTTCAAGTATCACAGTGAGTCATTCTCCAAACCAATAAAGGGGAAAGAGGAGATGCTGTAATTCTGCACTCGGGCTTGTGGTGAGCAGACTCGAAACATCAAAGCCGTGTGGTTTGCACTCAGAGGCTCCTGCTGTCCTCAGGGCAGCCCCACAGCCAGGGGAGGTCTCACCCAGCTCCTTGGTGAGGTGCAGCCCTGCCCTGCTGAACTTAATGACCGTGATCCTTCAACCATGCCCAGCTCTGTCTGCTGAGCAAGGCTTCATCTTGGTGGAAATTTTTTCCCTTCTTATGAACCCTTGCAAATAATGTTTTATAATAGAAACTCTGTGAGGAGTTTAATTGCAGGGTAATAAATAGCAATGCTGTGTTATCTCCTGATATTTCTTTACATTCTTAGCAAAGATGCACAGCTGCTCTGGAGCAAGGATCCCTGGAAGTCTTCAAGGCTGGAATTGGGCAGGGCTTGGAGCAATGGAACGTGGCCCTTCCCATGGTGGGGGATTGGAACTAGATGATCTTAAAGATCCTTTCCAGCCCAAACAATTCTGATTTTGTGCCCTTACCACATCACAGGAGGTGTCAGGGGCCACCCTGGCCTGTTTGAGGTCCTCAGTCAGGAGAGTGATGTAGGACAGCCAGGTAGCCAGAGGTGATGTTTCCCCCAGCAAGTGTCCCTTCAGCGCTGCAGACTGAAACAATCCACAGAGTTCTGCCTCTCAGTTTCAGCAGAGGAAACAAGAGTGTCACCCCGTGCTGCTTCATCTCAGTCCCTCACTTCAGAAGGTCAGAGGGACAAGTTGGGATCTTGGTCCTGTTGTTCTTACACACATGAGTAAGTGGTGAATGAAGACACCTAATCCTGTGAGTAGAGCAAGAGAATTGAACCTTGACTTACTTTAATGTTTATTGATGTTTCACCTGCATTGACACAGCGGCGCCAAGGCTTTGAGACAAGTTTCAGTGCAGAGTCAGAGCTGGGTTTCCCCGACTGTGTGTCAGCCTCACCCTGACCAGACAGCTCCTCCTGCATCAGTAACAGGCCAGGCACCTAAACCTACAATCCTTTTGTCATAGCATTTGAGATCACAGGAAACACAGGTTTATTCTACGCGAGAATTGTCTTTTCCCTTCTAATAGAAAAGAAAATCCTAAAACAATTTGGGAATTCTGTACCAAACCGTTTCCAGCATTCCTAGCCCCGCTGGTGCTGCAGGCACAGCAAGGAGCTGTGGCACCGACCAGCTTCCAGCACTGAGACCTCTGCCTCAGCTCAAAGCTGTTCTGAATTAGGTGGTTAGATTTTTCTAATTGCATTTTTAAAGACCGAGCCAGCAGTTCATTAGAAATCACGGAGCAAATTCTGCTTCTCTATTACACCAATATAAATCTTGAATGAATTTATATCAGGATAACTGGGAGGGTAGAAAGTACCTCCCATCTTGTTCCTCAGATTATTAAAAGTTAAAGGGCCTTGAAAATTAAATTCACCTTTCCCTATTCAAGCTGTTTACTCTGTTTTTTATTCCAGAAAGGACAGTTGAAAATAATTAACCAACCTCCTTTCTGCTCATAGGAACTTTTAAGTTGGGTTCTCATGTACTAGCCCAAGACTAGTTTGTGTGGAAAAGACCAGAGGGCATTTTCTTTCAAACAAATTGTTTTCATGGGAATAATTTCCCAGAGAATTTTATTAAAACCTTTTTGCGAATCCTTTATTTTTGAAAAAAAAAAAAAATCGGCTTATATATCATTGATTTGGGGGGGCTTGGCAGTGTATTTGCAGATATACATGAGCACCTTAATGAAAGCCCTTCAGGATTTTACCTTCTAACAGGCTAACCTTATTTAACCAAAATACTTCTCAGCGAGGCTTCATCTTGCAGGAAAATTCTGCCTTTTGAGTTACCAACCCTTGTAAATGAGGTTTTATAATAGAAACACTGATAGAACTTTAATTACAGGGCAGTAAATAGCATCGCTGCCTAATCTTCTGATATTTCTTTGGATTCTTAGGGAAGATTCGCAGCTGTTGCTGGAAGCCGATCATCGGGGGCTGCAGGGGCTGGAAGTTGTTCCCCGCACCCCGCGGGAGCAGCAGCGAGCGCCGAGCCGGAGGAGGCTGCGGAGAGAGGGGAGGGGAGCGGAGGGAATCGGGACCTTGGCGTGGAATATCCCACCCGCG